TGCCATCGGCGCCCGCGCGTTCGTTCATCACGAGCGATACAAGAAGAAGCTAGACGACCGGCCCTTTGAAGGTAAGCTTTGCTGTTACGGACCTGATAGCAAGACGTACCGGATCTACGTGGAGGGCAAAGACAAGGTCTACGAGAGCCGGAACGTGACTTTCATCGAGACTCCACCCAACACCATCCCCCCTCACCGGTGGGACGACCGTCTCGGATATGAACAGGACGTGATGAACTTCACGTCATTGCTCGGACGCCGTACCTCTACGGGCGACGAAGACAACAAAGTGGACTACGGAACACAATCAGAGCTCCTGCTGCACGAGATGCGCAACATGCAGCAAGACAACATCGACCGAGCAGAAGTTCGCCAAAACAACGCGGGCACGGATTCTGACAACTACTTTGCTGCTGGGGGAGCTGACAGCAACAACAACCCGCGGACTACGACACCATCCAGGACATCGCAGGACACGACACTCGAATCACCCACGACGCCAACAGACACGGACTCCGCTTCGCCAGCCCCCATCCCAATGCGTCGATTAACGGTGACCCGTCCTGCCACGCGCACTCACCAACCCACAGATGACCCTATCGACCCTTCATGCATCCCGAAATCTCTGGAAGTGAACATGAAGAACAGAGGCCGCTCTACCATGGCTGTCAGCCACCCCGACCCACTGGAGCTCACCGAGGATCAACTACTCGATCTCACCCACCAAGCGCAGCAACGATGCCCTACTGACGCGGCGGATTTTGCTCACCTGGATGAAGACCCCTTCGCCGAAGTCCGGGCGTATGCTTACGCCATGGGCACCTCGAGCAAAGGGTTCTTGGGGGAGACACACCAAGAGATCAAAACTCCGAGCACGTACACCGAAGCCATGAACTCACCACAACGCGAGCAGTGGAAGAGCGCTATCGACACCGAGATGGGTAATCTCGCCAAGCACAAAGTCTTTAAGAAAGTACGCATCAGCCTGGTACCAAAGGATGAGGACATCTTCGACACACGCTTCGTGTTCAAGATCAAGGCCGACAGCCGCTTCAAGGCCCGCTTAGTCGCGGGGGGACACCGCCAACGAGCAGGACGACACTTCGGAAGGAACTACGCTCCAGTAACCCGATTGGGTAGCATCCGCATGCTATTCGCCATCGCTTGCGAACACGGATGGGAGGTGTACCAATTGGACGTGGTAGCTGCATTCCTGAACGCGTACACCGACAGAGACGTCTACGTCAGGCCGGCGCCAGGCGACGAGGAGAGGGACCCTACGACAGGTGAAATGATGGTCTACAAACTGGAGAAAAGTCTGTACGGCCTGTCACAGTCCCCGTCACTGTGGAACGACGCCATCAATGACAGACTCATCATCTTCGGCTGGCAGCGCACTCACTCTGACCCCTGTGTCTACATCTTCGTAAGCGGGGACGAACTCACAATCCTCGCGATCTACGTCGATGACATCCTCATCACGGAGGGAAACAAGGAGATCGTAAGCAGGAAAAAGAAGGAACTCATGGACAGCTTCGAAATGACAGACATGGGAGAGGTCAAGCGCGTAATCGGCATCGAAGTGCAGCGGGACTACGAACATGGCACACTAGCCATATCGCAAGGACCCTACGCGAGAGATATCCTACAGCGATATGGAATGGAACAGGCAAACCCGGTCAGCACCCCCGGGTATGGAGCAGAACTATCAACCGAGCAGCCACAAGACCAACTGCTCGGACCCGAGGACAAGCAGAGATTCCAGGCCATCACCGGGAGTCTCCTGTACCTTGCCCAATGCACCCGCTACGATCTGTCATACGCNATGAAGTGCAGCGGAACTACGAACATGGCACACTAGCCATATCGCAAGCACCCTACGCGAGACATATCCTACAGCGATACAGAATGGAACAGGCAAACCCGGTCAGCACCCCCGGGTATGGAGCAGAACTATCAACCGAGCAGCCACAAGACCAACTGCTCGGACCCGAGGACAAGCAGAGATTCCAGGCCATC